ATATATATATATATATGTAATCTCCAAATGTCAGTCAAAGCTTGATGTGTGGGTTCTCACTTTGGAAGCACATATACTAACAGCTTGGCATGAGGAATGACTTCATTGTTAAAATTATGAAACAATGTCTTGGACTTTTTTTGGTACCAGGGATCAAACTCAGGACCTTGTGCATGTGAGGCAGGCAGTGGAACCACTGAGCTAAATCCCCAGCCCTGAAACAATGTTTTGATTTCAGATCTCTTCTTGAAATTTCATGTCACGTGCTTTAGTTCTGGCCATAATTAGGTACTCTCTCCCAATAGGTTGAAATTGTTTAAGGGACCCGAGTTCAATCCCCGGTACGGAAATTGCTTAAAGGTTGCAATGTAAGCTGCTTTATCTGTTTGTAAGCTTTCATGATTTGTTCATAAGCTTGAATGACTTGTTTTGTTTTAGGGTGCGGATATGAACGTCACCGATTCTGAAGGACGTTCTCCACTTGTATTAGCAACTGCTTCTGCATCTTGGAATATTGTAAATCTGCTGCTATCGAAAGGTACCAAGAAGGATCAAAACAAACCTTTGGAACTAGTATTCAATTTGATTAGATAAACATTTATTAACCATCTGTCGTGTGCCAGGCATGGGGTCAGGTAAACTCTTTATGTCTAGAATAATTTTCAGTTCAATAAAGGAGTGCAATGTTTAAAAAGATAATTTCAGAACATAATAGATCACAGGCATTTTAAGGTAACTGCCATATATCAGGCATTTGCTGAATATCTTTTCAACTTTTCTAATGAGTCAGTCCTATGTAATGTAAATGCTGTAACTATCCCCATTTCAGATATTAACCTGGTGCTATAATAACAAACAAAAGAAGTCTCTTTCTTTTCTGTCATTTTCATTCTTCACCTGTAATTGCTCTGTACTTCTATTTTATGCTTTAAAAATTAAAGCTTCATATATTAAGACAACACACAGCACATTTCCTTCCCCCTTACAAACACATGTTCATGTATTTACACACACACACACACATGTACAGGGTACAGCAAATCTATTTTAAAATATGTTGCTTCATCTAAATATTGTTAAAGGTTGGCAAAGATTTGTCAAAATGTTTTAAGTTGAAAATCCAGTATACACCATGTTTTAGATAAATAAGTAGAATTTATATTTACATTGTGCTTTTTAGGTGCCAAAGTGAACATAAAAGATCATCTTGGACGTAATTTTTTACATTTTACTGTGCAGCAACCACATGGATTAAAGAGTTTGAGACCTGAGTTTATGCAGGTAGTGTATGTGTATGAGTATGGATTTTGTTAAACCAGATTTTATACAATGAAGATTAAACTAACTTTATTATGATTTTTTTATTGTTATGAAGGCTGATTCTGGGGTTTTAAAACAGTGATAGTGGGGCCGAGGATTTAGCTCAATGGTTCCAGAGCCTGCCTTGCAAATGCAAAGACCCAAGTTCAATCCCCAGGACCAAAACAGCAACAACAACAAATAAAAACAGTGATAATGATGATGATTGCATTGAGATTGAGTTTTCCAAGTTACAGAAAGTTGCTCTACATCCTCATATATCATAAGGACACATAATTAATCACCCATAGTTTGTCTAGTTTTAACCATTATGAACTCATATATCAGTGGAAAAACCAGTTTGTGAATGAATTAGCAGCACTCCACCATTAATTAAGAAAAACTACTCAATATGCTTGACTCATTGGTAAGAGAGTGAAAGCATTATCTTTGTATTTATCTTATATATATAAGCAAATAGGAAAGTGTGAGTGATGTAAAGTGTGCCATATAATAAATACATCTTCATATTGTCTCTCTCTTTAATAAAGAATCAAGAACAGGTATGTAGTTGGATATTTTACACCAAAACATATTTATTAATTGGATTAAACTAGTCATCTGTCATTCTTTTTTTTTAAAAATGTAATGTATGCACAAAAGGCAAAGTAAACCTACTTTTAACATCCAATCACTTTTGCCTAACAGAACATATTAAGCTTTTTAAGTGTTATTTGGGGAAAAGTGAGAGAAGATGAGAAGGAGAAGAGTGACAAATAAGTTGACAAAATAGTGGGTGAAAAATGTTAAGACGTTTTCCTACTTGCAGGTTCACTCTGAGCCTTTACATTACAGAGAGACAAAGTATGAGACTCAATCTATATTTAATTTTCTCTAGAATCATTTAAGTTGTATATGGTTTTTCCCTTGAGAAATATTATTGACCTTTGTTGGAAAATACTGTGCTATAGAATAATTTGAAAAATTATAGACCTGTTATACGTTGAATACTCATTTGTTCCCATAGATGCAAGAAATTAAGGCACTGGTAATGGATGAAGACAATGATGGTTGCACTCCTCTACATTACGCTTGTAAACAGGGAGTCCCTGTCTCTGTAAATAACCTACTTGGTTTTAATGTGTCCATTCATTCCAAAAGCAAAGATAAGAAATCACCCCTGCATTTTGCAGCCAGGTAAGGGTCAGTCTATATGCCATGAAAATATCTTCTTTTTTTCTAATATTTACCTTGAAAAATATGAAACCAATTTTTTTTCAAGTTATGGGCGTATCAACACCTGTCAGAGGCTCCTACAAAACATAACTGATACAAGGCTGTTGAATGAAGGGGACCTTCACGGGATGACTCCTCTCCACTTGGCAGCAAAAAATGGACATGATAAAGTAGTTCAACTTCTTCTGAAGAAAGGTGCATTGTTTCTCAGGTGAGAATACATGAATGGAGCCTTCTATATTCTTTTTATTAGCCATTTTCAGACTTCTTTTCTATTGTATCTTTAATGCTGGTATCTAACTTTATGTCCCACTAAGTACTTTTATTCATCTTATTTATTATGTAAATGTCTTAAATATTTAAAAAAATCAGTACTATTCCAAGTTGAGAAATTAAGCATTGAATTTTATAGAGTTGAAGACCTTAAAGGTCACAGAATAAAATGGCTTTGAGCAGAGTATTTCTGAAAACCTTTGAGATACATTTTAACATATTTTATTTTATTATCTTGCCATCTTCTTGAAAAGGTACAGAACTATGTGAATGTATATGTGGATAGACATACAAACACAAAAGCAGATAAGTTTATAGGATTTTTCATTGAATCTGGCAAATGATGGATGTAAAAAGTGACAAAAGGAGACATTAAAAGTGAACTGAACTTCATTATAATTAAAGGCATTTTAATATAAGAAACAAAACCGTGGTTAAAATATGGACACATAATAAATTATGTTCCATAATTGAATAAGGTCTTCATAAAAAGAAAGTCTAGAAATGTATATAGAACAATGATCTGTCTTCTAATCTTTTCCTAAGTGGTAGGTAGCAGTAGCTCATTAGTCTAATGTTCAAAGACACATGTCATCATCAGAGCATCAGTGCCAAAATATCAGCATTGCAGTTTTGAAGGCTTTACTTATTCTCTTTCCACCTCCAAGAGCCACTGATCTGTTGACCTGCAAAGAGGACCCACGTGAAACCCACATAGGCAGTTGTTGCTTAATTCATCATAACTGAAGTAGCAAAGGTGACCCTTGCATCTTAAGACAGCTGCTTATTAGCACTGACATTAAATTGGGTCAGTGTTTTCTATGTCTAATTTTTAAAAATTTTAGCAATATGAGAAGTCCTTATTATAAATTGCATCTTAAATTTCTGTGAAAAGGGATAGCTTTTTCAAAGGGATTGAGTAAGGATCTTTGATAGCACAAGAAAGTACTGACCTGAATATTTAAAATAATAAGTTGTACTAAGCCAAGTATCTTGTACCATAGGATCTTGTTATTATTGTTAGCAATAACTATTGACTGTGAAGACTTAATGCCACCATCCCAGAACACTTTTTGATACATTGTTCATGGAAGCAATAAAACAAGATTGAAAATAGTGTATATGTGCATTGAATTTTTGAAAAATACACAGTCATGCTATCATTTCATCATCCTCAAGTGTTTAGTAATATGTTTATATCCTTTTATATTTTAATCCATCAATATATATAT